CATAAATCATAAAGTGCGTGAGATGGCTCCAGGGGACCTTGTATGTCCAAGCCTCGCAATTCCTGCCTTTGTCTTTCAAGTCTGGCCTGCCTTTCTGGTGCCGACAACTTTTTAGGTAAAGCTTCTTCTCCTTTGGCCGTCGATTTGAAACTGTGCATCATCAAGGTCTGGCTCTCGAAAAGGACCCTTTTGAAGGCTGAACGATCAGCAATTGTTGGTGCTACCCCCGGGCGTAAATCGCCTAGGAACCTGGTGATCTGATCGTCCGTGGCCACTACTCCAGGGCTGGTTACAGCAAAGCTCAGTTTGGCGAAAGTCGCCAGCGCTCCATTCTTGAGCGCATCCACCCAAGCTTCTGACAATCCTGCATCCTCTGCCTGCTGCGAAAATGTAGCTTCAGAATCCAAAAATGAAGCTGAAGCCATGATACCACCGACGCGTGGAAGTTAGGCAGAAAGTGCCAATCCACCTGCTTCTATGTTTCTCTATCCGCTTCGTGTTCCCGGGTTTCTATGAAAACATTTTTAACTTGAGGGAATTTGCATGAGTTTCTATTGGAAGCTCAAGAAGGTTTTATCGAGAAATGTCAACCAATTATCTCCAGGCCACTGCCTGTGATAAAATTAAATACCCAATGATTCAACTCCAACCGCATAAGCAAGAGCTTTGTTGCAACTGATCGACTCAAGTGTCGACTCGCTCCTATGAGCCACAATTTGCATGACTGCATTCAATCCTGCCTGCTGCTTTCAGCCTTTTACTGCATTCAGTAAAAGCTTTTTGGGGTTGCCTTCAAACTCCCAAAAATTCGACCGAACCTGCAACAACTCAAAAGCCGTCACCATACCAGTCGCATTCAACACACCTCTAATATTCAATACTCAAGCAGGCCCAAGTTGTTTTTGCAGACATGCTCAGAAGAATCTGGATTCAGGTGAAACGCAACGCATTCGTTACTGCCCAGCTTTCTGGTCAGCCAAGTTGCATTCAACATAAGGTGGTGTTTCAAAGTCTTTCTATTCCAGGACACAAATGAAAAAGATTCCAATTGCCAAAAGGATCTCTGTCCTAACATGTTTCCACCACTTAGGCTTTCTTTGCTCGCGCTCAAGGTCACTTTGCCCTCTGGCGCTTCAACCTGCTTTGGTCAAGTGCCTCCACAAGGCCTTCGACACTGGACACCACTTCGCCCTTGAAACACCTGCTGCAACGTGCATTGATGGTTGAGCAGCCTTCCTCCATATATTCAAAATGAACATCATCTATCAGTCGACCACACATTGTCTGCTTCTTGAAGGAGGAACAGCGGTGAACTACGTGACTCCTAATGTTGCGCCAAACTGGACCCGCCCTATAGGTCAGGCAAGGTTATTTGGAGCAAAATAGTTAAAAGTGATTTTGGAGGCAATTTTCTAACTAATAGTTTATTGTTAAGGAAACAAAAATAGTTAATTTTTTAAACTACATAGTTAATTTGTAAGGGTACATTTCAAGGTATTTTTTGGGGTTTTAAAAAATACCATCAAAAATTACCTTGAAATTTTGCCTTTTTTTCATGGAAATAAAGATAATGAATTTTGACATTTTCTTAAGATTGTACCATAGTAAAGTGAACATTATCAATTGCTTGAAAGGTTTTTTAACAATATGTTTCTTGATTTTGTGTGAAGTCAGTCCTACATGATTACTGGAAGTGCAAAAAACTATATTGTTCGAACTTATACTTGTTTGAGCAAATCAAAGTTTTTATTTGTGAAGATCAAATCTGATTGGATGTTTTGAAGATATGTTATACAACATCAAAGCTACAATGAAGTAACCCCAAGCATGTAGAGACAACGACAGAGCAAGTCTACCATCTGTACAGACATTGAGGCACAAGGCAGCAAGCAAGAAGTAAGCCCAAGAACAATGGCTGAACACAGCGGCTGCAGCTCTTTTTTAATCTATGGCGACATGTGGTAATGCATTCCTACTTGAAAATGGTACATCATCTTGGCTGGTGCAAAGTGAGGCTTTACTCCATGGACGCATTGTTTGCAAAGAATCTTGCAAACATTCATGTAATCTTCTCCTGCAAAGCACCAGACCCTCTGAGGGTTCAGGAAAGCTGCCAATGAAGCAATGTGGACCACTGAATGGAGTTTGGAAGTAACCCCAAACAAAGTAGGTCCAGGCTCATCAACAAAGCGATCATATAACAAGCATTGTATGTGTGCCATTTGATTAGCACAGTCATGAAATCTTTTGGCAGGCATTGGTGGGAAAGCGTCATAACATTTGTTTTCAGCTAAGATTTTTTCCATCTCCACATTCAACTTCAGCATCGCAGTGATCATCCTGTGGTTTTCCAAGGCATGATTTTTTAATTCATTCCACACAAGCAGAAGAATTGCTCCAAATCCTTTGATTTCACTTCCTTTGCCACGTAATTTGCAAGGCCCCTTGGCTCGGACAAACATGGACAGCTTGTTCAAATATTTATATCTGTAAGGTGTGTTTGCCTCAGCATAAAGTGCTTTGATCCTGTTCCAAATGACAGCCAAGTTGGTGGCTGGTTCATTGTCCAGGATGTGGTAGCACAGGATGTACAAAATGCTGGCAAACTGATATTGGTCAGTGCCAAGGTACTTACAATGTAAGTAATCCAAACATACATTGCAAGCACTGAGCCAAGGAAGGTCGAAATTTTGGCCTGTGACCTGTGACCCCAAGCTTTCCAGGAGCTGGCTGTCCAAATCGTTTCCCTCCATGGAGCAGTATCCCCAAACACTTTGCAAGAAGTAACCCCTGATCCCCCAGCTCGACATAAACTGCAACAACCAGAACCAGCATTCCACCTTGGCATTTGGAGATGTGTGGAAAAGTATTCCAAGTCTCCCTGGAGTGCTACCAGTGGTGCAATGTAACCCCCTGCCAAAGCTGAACCAGCCTTCTTGCCAGCTGGAGAATCCACATCAAAGGATCTTCCTTTCCAATCACAAGAAGGGAATGTTCAAGATGACATGCATTCAAAGCTCCAATTCAAAATCTCGAACACTTCGTCTAGAGTAACCCCAGACATCAAAGGTTCAAAGACCTCAGGTGAAAGCTTGGAAGCCAAAAGCAAATTACAGTACATCCCCTGACTTTTTTGGGATCAAACTGTTGGGTGGAAAAAGAAAAAGTATTTGAAAGTAACCCAACACTTGTGAAAGTGGACAGTGAGCCAAGGCACACTCCAGATTAAGAAATTGCTGGCTTTGGTGCTGGAAATTTTCAACAAACTGCTCCAGGAGAAACAGAGCTGCATTTTTGTCCAGACCTTACCAACCCCTGTGGTGGGCACTGCATCTCCATGCAGGCCAAGAGGTATACACTTGTGCGGAAAAGATGGATGTGAAGTCCAGGTGGCAAGCTCCATGCAAGGGTGATTTTGGAACTTATCCCAAAAGAATCTCATTCCTGCCTCTCCTGCTGGAGTTAAAGTTTGCAAGAAATATGCATTGTACCTTTCCCACATGCAATGGAAGAGCTCATGAGGCAGCATGATGGATTGCAGATATAAACCATCTTTCAAAGTAATGTTGACCTGCAGAGGTGCACACACCTTGGTTTTGGCGGATACCACATTCATCAGGTCCCTGTGGCAATTTTCACTGTGATGACCAAAAGTGCCAATAGACGCCAATTTCTGTAAAGCTGGTGGAAAATTTTCAACACCACAAGCAAGCATGTCTTCAAGCGCAAGCTGTGCAATCTTTTGAATGCATTGTGCACTCATAGAGCCCCAAGCCCATTGCTCCTCCAGCCATGTAACCAAAACAGAAGACTTGGTGGAGGCTGCCGTAGATGCAAGTGCAAGTCTTTGCTTTTGACCCCTGGGTTTTTTGGCAGGATGTGTCTCCATCAGCTTTGGATGGTACAAAGACAAAAGTTGAAGTGGAGACAAAGTCGAACAAGGAAGGGATTGAAAGCTTGAACCAACTTCTTGAAACATGTGGCAGTGAATGGCTACACATAGTTTATTCATGAGCCAATAGTTTGAAACAACAACAAAGGACTTGCTTTCAATATAGAAATAGTAAGACAGAAGTGGCAAAAGCTTTCCATTTAGAATTTCACCTCACATCCACCTATTTGAACTAACTGATCTACTTTCCAAGATATCAAAGGTTCCCAGTTCACTATTATAGAGCAAGGTTTTCAGTTCCCTGTTATGATTTGGTTTGGGTTACTGGTAAGTATTTGGGAAAACACAAACAAGAAAGTAATGACTGTGAAAGAAGTAAACCCATAGAACTGTGAGGCTGCTTCAAGTTGCCAAAGAAGTAAACCCATGCAACACATCAGCTGCTTCAAGTTGCCAAAGAAGTAAACCCATGCAACACATCAGCTGCTTCAAGTTGCCAAAGAAGTAAACCCATGCAACACATCAGCTGCTTCAAGTTGCCAAAGAAGTAAACCCATGCAACACATCAGCTGCTTCAAGTTGCCAAAGAAAACACATGCAACACATCAAGCTGTCTTAGGAGTAAACCCATGCAACAGCTGAGCTGGTTCAGGTCGCACTTTTTCCACAATGCCACATGCTGCAGCAAGCTTGCTGTTAGAAGCAACACAAAAGCCTTCAACCTAAGGGGTGCGGTCACACCATCTAAGGGAGCTAAAGAAACATACAGCAAGTTGAAATGTTGAAAGCAAAGACCAGAGTCCAGCAACAATGTTTTTGATGAAATGAGACTTGGAACTGAAAAGCTATATTTAGATGAAGAATAATTGGAGCTTTGTACTCATATAGTGTTTCCTTTCAACTTGCTGCATGTTTAGCGATGGGAAATTATGGTCAGGTGCTGCTATGGCCATGCAGGTGTCTAGCTGGCCTTGCCATCAAAACTTGAATGCACAGTGTAACCAGAAGAAACATGTCGACTTAACAGTGGTTTGGTACATTTACCTTGTCTGCTTTTTCATCCAATGCATTCAAAGCAGTAACCATCAGACCATAAAGTAAAAGCTACCTACTTGCTGTCCAGCCAGCCCCTGGTTCTGGCTATTGACTTGGTGGATTCCAGCTTCTCATTGGCATCCTCAGTCGCTTGCCCAAGATCACGGAAGAATTTCTCCACCTTGGTCTTCTCCATGTTTGTGCCTTCCACACTTTGGAAGATGATGCATTGCCCAAGCATGCTTTCTCTTTGTGAAAGGCCACTGAGGATATCCTTCAAAGTCTGATTGATGCCCTCGTCCTTCTTGTCAAAGATTTTGGCGGCAAGCCTTTGACAATCTCTGCCAAGTCGTTCCTGAGCCCCTTTGGCTTCTTTGATGTCATGCTCCACACTTGACCAGGAGAGTTTCAGAGGTGCATCACATATCGCCTTTGGCAATGACGAGGAAGAGCGAGTAACCACAGCCTGTGTAGAGGAAGGACCGCCTCCAATGCCAAATTGGGACCATGGCCTGCTGGCCATGAACTCATTCATCTGGCTATATTCGTCCTTGCTGAGGTCAGCTCTGCCACCATGCAAGACCATGGAGGTGTCATGCCTCTTTTCAATGGCTGTGGCCACTGACTTGAAGTGATAGTAACCATCCTTCTGGTAGACATCACCTCGTCTTTCTGCATCATGCAAAGCTTCTTCATTTCCATGGAAGTTTTTCCATAGCATGATGGAGTAAGGTAACCCAGTAACCTGAGATCTGTTGCTGCGAATCTCATTGTTCTTTTTGAATACTTCGAACTGGGCATTTCCAGGAGCAAGCACGTATTCTCCTTTGCTGTTCTGCTGAAACACCTTGTTGATGAACTGGCTCTTGAACAACCTTGGGTGAGGAGAATTCTTGGCGCCTTGTTCGTAGAGCTGCTGAAGATCCTCTGGCACCTGGCCTGCCTTGATCAATCTGGCCCATTTCCTCGCCTTGGGATAGCTTCGAGTCTCATCCTCACATGCTTCATCCTGTTCTCGGGGCTCCTCTTCTTCTCCTTCTGCATGGTCATCTGGACCTTTTTCATCTCTTTCTTTCTTCCATCCTTCTGTCATTTCCTTGACAGTCTTTGCTTTCGCCTTCGCTTTCCCCTTGGGAGCTTCAGGAGGTACAGCTGCAGCTGGCCTTTTCAACTTCTTCTGGACTTCCTTCTTTGCCGACTGAGTAACCCCAGGAGCCTTGCTGGCAGCAGCCTTTGCTTTGCTTGCTGCCTTAGCCTTGACAGTAGATTTTGCCTTCACCTTGGCCTTTGCCTTCGGTTTCGCAGTATCCACATGAGCTCCTGGAGCTGCTTCAGCAGGAGAAGCACCTTCAACCGTTTCTGCTGCTAGGGGAGCTGCTGGCAAAGAAACAACAGCATCATCAGCAGCCATGGCTTCAGGTAAAGCAGCAGGCCTCTTCATTCAGTTTCCTGCGCTGCCCTGAAGTAACCACAATCTTGAGCACCAGTGTGCTACATAGCTGGTCTGTGCAATTGTGTACTAGACACCAGATTAGGAAGTATGCAGCAAAAAGTAACCCCATAAAGAACATGTCTTTTGATCCATATATAAGTTTACATAACATAACTTCCAAACTTTCATTATAGTTTCTGAAATCAATTTCAAAGACCTTATGAATCTATTCATGAAAGAATGTAACCATGTTAATTAATCTTGTAAATTGTTGCATATGGTACTCATACTGGTCCTTCTTGCAATGTGATGTTGTTTACCACATGTTTTTTGTTGTTAATAATTGTTCTTTTAAAGCAAGAATAAACTAATATATTATGTAAGTCTTGTTTTTCTGCAATGTAATGTATTGATATACACATATAATAATGATTGATGTTTTATGAAATCAAAAAAAATAAATTTAACCTTTTAATATTGTACATATGCCTTTGTATTTTTTCTTATCTATATCCATTTGTTCTAGTTGCTCTTGCCTTGGCATGGCTATGGAACTCTAAACACCTCATGTACCCAAATAGCATTGCTGAGGTAAATGTTTGTTTTTTGTTCATTTGGTTTGGTGTTACTATTTTGTTTGGGGTTACTGCTTTGCAAACCAAAACCAAGACATGACAACCAAACCATGCTTGGGGTTACTTTTTAAACCATGTTAAACATGGTGGGTGCAATATGCCAAAACAATTTGAACAATAAACAAAATGTGTTTTATTTGGCTCAATAAATATGAAAAATACAAAGGCTACTAACCAACATTTTTTTAATGTGAATCAAACCTAAAACAAAACATATACAACTATTGTTGTTTGGTGGAAAACCAAGTCTAAAAAAACAATCATTCAAGTAAGACTACATTTTTTTTGTACAAACAACTTGGTTTCAACTTCCTTTGACACAATTATTTCAAACATTTTTTTTCCAATAATAATATGTATGAAGCATACTTTTTTTCAACAAAATAGTAAAACATAATGCTGCATGAAACAACATGTCATTGAAAGCAAAACCATTTTTCAAAGGAAAAATGAACTTTTGTATGTTATTTTTAATTCAAAAACAGTTATTTTAAATTAAAAATATAAAAAAATGAAAAAACAAGTTTTTTCTCTATTTTTTGGGGGGTTGCCCTGAAAGTTTGTTGAAAGTTTGTTGCAAACTTTCAGTCAAACTTTCAGGGGGGGTTGCAAGTTTGACTGAAACTTTCAATGCAAACTTTCAGGCTTGGATTGCAAGTTTCACTGCAAACTTTCAAGGCTAGATTGAAAGTTTCCTGCAAACTTGCAGGGTCACATTGAAACTTTCATGCAAACTTTCAAGGAAGACTGAAAGTTTGCATGAAAGTTTCAATGTGACCCTGCAAGTTTCTTGAAACTTTCAATCTAGCCTTGAAAGTTCGCAGTGAAACTTGCAATCCAAGCCTGAAAGTTTGCATTGAAAGTTTGAGTCAAACTTGCAACCCCCCCTGAAAGTTTGACTGAAAGTTTGCAACAAACTTTCAACAAACTTTCAGGGCAACCCCCCCAAAAAATAGAGAAAAACTATATTTTTCTTAAAAAATAATGTTGTTTCTAAACAAAAAATGTTGTGTTTTCCCAACAGATACCCAAAACTAGTTTGAGTTCACTTCAAAACTGTATTTTTATAACTGTTCACAAACAGTAACCCAATGTTTCAAGTAGTAACCCCATGTCACAAGCAGTAACCTCATGAACTGCATTTGCCCAGACATGATTGCAAACAGTCCAACTGTAACATATCATGGCTAGTAACCCATGCAGCAGGTCAAACAGTAACCCCAAATGCAAACAGCTGCAACTCTTTTTTCAACCAACACTTTTGGAAGATGCCACTCCATAGAGCCCATGAGGAAGTAACCAGAGATCCTGGGCTGGGCAAGCATCTAAAAGAAGAATTGCAGAGTAACCATGCAAGCTGGAACTCTGAAACACAAACCTAAAGCAAATAGTAACCCCAACACTAAAAGCATCCAAGAAGCAAATCTCATCGTCCTGAGGACCAAGTGGTCTGCCATCAGGTCCAAACCTGGGTTGCTTTGAAATGAGCAGAATCAATACCATTGAACCTGTGAAAACATTGAGGCAAATGTCACATTGCCACCAAAGTGTAACAAAGTAACCCCAAACTAAGAACCCTTTGAAATGAAGTAACCCCAATCCATTGGACCTTGCAACATAAACACCATATCATATAATGTTGCCAAGTCTCAGAGGCTCTGGTGGAGGCTGTGGAGGGTCCAGCCATGTTCTGGCTTTCCTAAGGTGCCACTGGTGTTTCTTTGGTAGTCAAGTTCCAAATGAAAAACAACAAGTAACCACAAGAGGTACCTGGCCAAGTTGCGAGACCACAGGTGGCTTTGGCACAGGAGGCAGTGGAGGTGGTGTTGGAGCAAGCACACTGCCTGACCTCAATTTTCCAGTGGGTATGCCTTTAAGTAACCAAAACAGTTTCTTTGAACAGTAACCCATGAAGAAAATGCAACCCAGTAACTTACAAGTGGTACCCTCCAGTTCTGCAGCGGGGGCAGCAGCTGTTGTCCTAATTTGGGCAAAAGTGACATCTGCATAATATGTGGAAATCAGACTTTAAACAATTCAGGTGCCCAATGGCAAATAGCAGCCAAGATTCTCAGCTGAGCCCAAAAAGGCAGATCCAGATAAAGTAACCACTGATGTCGCTGGCCTCTCAGAGGGCAACCTCAGTTTTCAAATGACAAACACAATGCTGATTAGGAAGCAAACCAAAATGCTGTTGAGCCACATCTGTTCCCTTTGGCTGTGCCCTTCAGGCAATCCTGGCCTCAGCAAAGAATAACCAGATTTGTAAGATGGAAACAATCAATGCAGGAGTAAGTAACCCCAAGGAGCTTTCAAAAGGCAAAGTTACAAACCGAGGAGCTTGGGTAGAAGTGGGGGTGGAGCCTTCTCCATGTGAGCTGCTTTGCCTTTAGCTGCCTTTGCTAAAGTAAGCCCAGCTGCCTCAGCTGCCTTGGCAGGTGCTGCTTTGGCAGGTGCTGCCTTGGCAGGTGCTGCCTTGGCAGGTGCTGCTTCTGCTACTGGTGCTGCAGCAGGCTTGGCTTGTGCTGGAAATGCTTTATACTTGACAACAGCTGCGGCAGGAGGGGCCTTCTGCATTGGCCTTTGCTTGGCAGCAGCAATCATGGCAGCTGTGGGCCAGTTCCCCATGCCTGGTGGTGGCTGCTTGAACCTGAGATAGATAAAGTAACCCCAAGAAACATGGAAATCTTGTTCCAAAAAGTAACCCAAGAACCTGTATGCAACCAAAAAACACACCTCTCCCTTGGTCAGGGAAATTTCTGGCTGCAGCATAATTCGTAGCTATAGTAGAAGCCATATTGGCAGAGTCAGCTGGGCCAAGTACATCATCATGCCTTGAAGAAAGAACATCCCATGGCCAAATGTAGTGCTCAAAGTTATCAATAAACTCCAGCACCCTCCAATGCTGCCAAGGTACCCCATAGTAACCCCTGAGGAATCTCCAGCAGCCTCTGAAGGATCCGGTGAAGATGTCCTTAGCCATGAAATGCTTATATAATGCAGATTGGCCTAGAGAGGAGCATAGTAACCCCAAACCCACTGGCAAATAAATAGTAACCCCATGTCTTCATGCTGCAAAGAGACTCAGGAGCTCCTGCCCTTAGCTGGGCAGTAAACTTAAATTTTTGCTTCCAAGAACTCACACCAGGGAGAATGGCACCCAATGCCATTTCTTTGACAAAAAAGAATGCAGCCCAGGAACTTCTTGGGTGGAGAAACTTCAGCAACCCCAGGAGCACCACTTGGTGTGACTACAGCCACTTTGGGAGGTGTCCTCAGATCACTCTCAAGCCATCTTACACATATCATGAAAAAGTAACCCCAAACTGCACTGCCATCATTGCTTACAAGCATCTTGGGTACTGAAGTAAGCACAGGCTGGGCAGCAACTGGCTTTGCAGGTGGGCCAGAAGCAGCAGCTGGCTTAGCTGGAGCAGCTTGAGGTGTCCTCAGCCCATGTCAAGAACCATAGTGAAACTATTGAACCAAAAAAGTAACCCCAGTTCCTTTACCACCTAGGCCACCAATGCTTCCCAGAAACTCGCCAGCAGGCCTTGGCATAGCCTTTGGAGGTGGAGCTGCTTTGCCAGAGCCAGCTGGTGGCTTTGCAGGAGCTGCTTTGGGTTCTGACCTCAAGTTACACAGGTAGGTGCAGATCAGAAACAAAGACATGTTTCTTTCAAACAGCATCCCCATACCCATCTATTGTGTTCCCAGGTGCGAAGAAGTAACCCCAGCTCCTGTGGAAGGTGGCCTTAGTTCAAACCACATGTAACACAAAACAAAGTCACAAGAGTAACCCCATGTTTGAATGTGCATCCAAAAAACATGGCAGAGGAAGCAGCTTCAGATCCTTTAGGAGATGGAACACCATGCTCCCGCCTCATGTGTCTGCACACAGGAAATCAGAAAATTAATTTGCTTGTATTCAAACCAAGTAACCCAACAAAAACATAATTGTTTTTTTCGAGCCAAGTCACATATGCAAGAACCATTGGCGCTCATCTCGCCATGCTGCAGACTTTGCTTTTGCTTGCCTGAGCTGCTCAATGTTCCATAGTCACTTAATGTTTTTCTTCCACAACATGGCAGCACCAACAGTAACCCCAAAGTGCTACAACCAAGAAAAGTAACCCCATGATTCACTGCAGCCCAGTTTCCCTGCCCTTATCAGTGCCTCAGATCGAAGTGGTGGAACATGAAACATTACCTTGAACTAGTTTTTGAACAACAACCACAACTAGTTTTAGATGCCAACAGGATGCCTTGCATCTGCCACAATGGATTGGCTCTTCACAACATTTGCAAGTTTTTGCAACTGGAGAATCTTTGCTCCAGCCATGATAAGGCCATTCTCGACCTTGTCCATGACAAGTACCCCAATGAATTCGCGGGAGAATAGGTTCCTAGGCAAAAGCAAAGACATAGATTTCAGGAATAACCCCTTGATTAGCACAGTCACATGTGTAAAGTAACCCCATGTTCAAAAAGTAACCCCAAACTTTTTCTTGGAGCCAAGTTACATCTGGGGCATCCCTCTTGGCACCACCATGCTTCACCAAGGAGGGACCTCCAGAGCCAGCAGCATAGCCACCATAGCCAGTAACCCCACCATAGCCAGTAACCCCAGGCTGATGCCTTGAGTCAGGCCTATCATCAGCCCTCTTGGCTATGGTAGGTCGATCCCAGCGACCACGAACCAAGTGGTGGTTTGAACAGGCAATGAGAAACCTCTGGAAGTCAGAGGAACTGCACTGCCAAGTAACAAACCCACTGGCCATGTCCTGACCCTGACCTGCCCTGGTGTGGGCAAAGCAGTTGGTGGGATAGTGACATTGGCACTCCCTGGTCACCCATCTGCCCAAGTCAGAAGCAGACCAATCAATTGGAATGTTCCTGATGTACATTCGGTTCGATTGTGTCTGCTCTGCCATGGCTGCAGCCAAAGGAAAAGAGTAACCCCAAAGTTGGTGAGAAGTGAAACTGTGAAAGTAGTGAAAGCTGTTGCATGTTTTGTGCTTTTGCTTGTGTATCCGACTTTTCATAGATATGATGGTTGTAGGTTGTGCTGCAAACTTTTTGTTTCTGCAATTCAAATGTGAAGAAGTATGTGTCTATGAGGTACACATGGGAATGTTTGTACCAATGCTATCAACATGCTTCATGCATGATACTTAATTTCATGTGTGCACATTTCCACGACCATGCTGTGTCCCAAGAACATTCTCAGAGCCAACAACATGCACATATTTATAAAGCATGAAAAACACATATGGAGTCACACAGAAGTAACCCTCAAGAGAGCATGAAGTACACATGTGCTTTCACAGAAAAGTAACCCCATGAGAGCATGAACTACACATTGGTTTCAACAAAAAGTAACCCCAGGAGATCATGACAACATGAAAGCACATAGTGTTTCACAAAGAAGTAACCCCATGCTGCTTTGTGTGACAGCTGCACACACAAACTGCCAGGTAAACATAAATGATCCAACCTTTTTTTCAAGTTCCAAAAAGTAACCCCAATTGTTTGCAGCTGCATCAGCAAGAACATGCCAGCACTTTTCCCCAGTGGTCTTCGACAGGTTTATAGGCTTGGATCCTTCACCAAACCAGTATCTATATCAGCAGCCATCTTGGCTGCAGCTGCAGACCCAGCTGCACAAGCTTCTTCCAAAGTTTTACCATCCTTCTTTGCCCTATTCTTTGCAGAGTGGTAAGCAGAGTCGCACTTCCTCTTTTTGAAAGGAACCTTGCAAGAACCTTTTTTGTTCTGACTCTCAACCTGGGTTTCTTTCTTCTTCTTCTGAGAGGCCTTCGATTGAATTGCTGCAGGCTTCTTCAAAACAGGCTTCTGGGTCTTGGAAGATGCCTTCTGCCCTTTCTTTTTCTTTTTGGTCTTCACATCGGCCTTCTGCAGCAACCAATCTTTCAACTCCTCAGCCTCATCAGCTTCCAAATCGACTCTTCCCAGGTCCTGGTGAGCTACAATAACCCCACAGGAAGACTCTGCATGCCCTGTCTCCAATTCCTGGTGAGGTGCAGTAACCCCACCATTGGAAGACATTGCATGTGGATGGGTACTGTGGGGTGCAAAGGAAGCAGCCACAGCCTGTTCCTTGATGCTCTTTGCAGGGCTGCTGGCATCAGAAACCTGCTTTTGCAAGACCCGCTTGAAGATGGACACGTTTTTTTTTTGACTTTCAGGTGACTTGTCCACTTTCTGTTCTTCAGGCTTCTGTGGCAGGTCTGAACTTACCCCAACTTCAGAGCACACATCAGTAACCACCAGATGTTGCAAGACTCCATCAACCTTCTCCTTCTCAGAAACGCTTGCTTTTCTCATGCAAGTGGCATACTTGGTAGGAGAAGCTTTCAAATCTCTAAACATGGAGCAAGCAATCCTCACCTGCTGGTCAACCATATCGAAGAAATCACCATCATGGTGCCTGGTGAAATTCAAACGATGAATCTCCTTTTGCAATTTCTCCAAGGCCAACCTGATCTTCTTGGATGCAAACACTCCATTCCTGGTAACCTTAAAGAGCTCCATGCAGAGCTCAGACACAGGCCCTGCCAAGAAACTTGCATCTGGGGCGTTCTTCCATGTCTTTTTCAGGTTGGACTTAAAGAGTAATGCATTCAAGTCCCAGCTGCCTTCTTTCTTGCAGAAGCTCCCAAAAACCTTTTGGATGTCACCCACAGACACCAAAGGATCAGGGGTAGCCCTCTTGCTTGCTCTGGCCATGGCGAAGGAAGGAAGTAACCCCACAAACAACTTGGAAGGAAGCTGCAGGCAACACACAAAAATGTCCATGAGTTCTTGTGTGAATTGTATATCAATATGTCGATGCTCTACTATATCTCATCATTCCGTCATTCTGTCCTGGAAAATGTTCATTGACAACTATTTTTCACTCTTACCATCATCTTGCCAGGCTCTTGTTGACAAAATTTGGGCAGTGACACAAACACTACCCATGATCAAATCATTTGATCCAATCAAAGTGCCAAGGGAAAAACATGAGACCCTGTCAAAATACATGAAATAAACCCATGCACATATGTCAGCAGCACGTATATAGTAACCCCAAGAGAACATCAGACACATACCATATCACAAAAGAAAATAAATAAATATATATGTAAAAACGAAGTGAAAAAAAGGTAACTCTTAAAAATTACCTTGAAAAAGGTTCTCAATAATTACCTTCAAAGGTAATTTTTTTTAACTAATAGTTAAAAAATTTCGACCAAAATTATCTTCAAAAAGGTAATTTTTTTAGAGTTACCTATTTTGCTCCAAATAACCTTGCCTGACCTATAGGGCGGAATCCAACACGCTGGCTGCGCAACATCGTCATCATCAGAGCCTCCAGAGCTAGAGCTGGTGGAGGCTATGTCGCTTGACTCCTCTTGTTCTTGTGCTTGGCGTGAGGCTGGCGCTGCCTCTGTGCCCAAGGGTGAGGTTGGTTCAAGCTCATCCTCCATTCTGCTTGCATCAAGGGTCACTTTGTTGTCAGCCGCCACTACATTCGGCCTCTCTGTTGTTGGCCGCTCCGTTGTAGACAAGCGCAACAAGTCCACCATGCTGGCGGTCCTGGAATCGTCTGGCCGGAAATGGTCCAACCTGATATTCGCCAGCATGCTGCAAAACAACTGTAGGGGCCTCGTCAACAAGTCCCTCGAATACACGGTCATAGCTTTTGCACCCTGCAACTCATGATGCCCCAGCAACGTACGTGCTGGCTCGTCCATACCGTAAGCCGCACACCAAGACAGAGTTGTATGTTTCAGTGAATGCGATGTGACACATGTCTCTTGATTGGTCTTCAGCACCTTGTTCAAGAAGGTACCAATCTCCTCGGTCGAACATGAACGACGGCAGAGGTTCCCATCGTGCGATGGGGCCTTGCACAAGGCTCCAAAAGGTTCTGCCTCCATGTTGACTCCCAGTGAATTCATTGCCTGAAGCCAATATTTCGACCAGTCAATGTTGGTCACACCCAAAACCGGTGCTACCAGTGGCATATACCTCTGTTTCTTTGCGAGTGTTGTTGCAGTCTTGTGGTACCTTGTACGTGCCTCCACAAAGCCGTAAAGTTCTCCATTGAAATCTACCTTTTCTATCCAAATCTGATGAATCAGCTTCAGATCAGACCATCTGGATCTCGAAAGCACTGCAAAAAGAATAGCACCAAGCATATAAACATCTATGGGGTTGGAATGAGAAGCAATCAGTTTCTCCAACGCAGCTACCTCCACAACCTTTAGGGGCCTGGCTGGTTTGTACGTCTCCTTCTCCGCCAAGAGCCGTTGTGCACGCCCCCGCAGCTGTGGATCACTCAGTAACTGATCTGGAATCGGAATCTCAAGAACAAACCTCGCAAATCTAAAAGACTCCAACAAAGTCATGCCCCTCGAAGCCGAAGATCTGGCATGTTCTTTTGAACCCAGATATTGTAAGCAATGTCTCCTGTCCCAAGGTGACCAATCTGGCACATACATCTGCAACCATGAAAAATACTGCAGCAATGTCTGAGCCCTTTTGATGGCAGTTCGAGGTGATTTGATCCCCAGTGAGTCCCTCAGCACCGCACTGCGCTCGTCTGGGTCTGTCAACAACTGCTCCTGCAAAAGTGCCTTTCCTAAAGTACCAGGGTAGTTGAGAATTTCAAACACCTGTTGCCATTTGTACAAAGCATGCAACCACAGCTTGCGGTCTTCCTCCAACGCATCTCGGTCAGGAAGTACCCTAACTGCAAATGAATAAAACGGCAGTGTCGTATCGGTGGCAATCAATTCCCTGGGGTGCATGCTCTGCTCCATCGGCTCCACATCATCGTGGCCTGCCGCTTGTGACGGTGTCGGAAATAAATATTCTCCTGGCACAGGTGGTACTACAGTTGGAAAAACGTCATCATCATCATCCGCAAAGATACGTTTCCAGACTCCCTGCTCCCATGGCAATTTCATCTCAGCATCTCCCATTGAGCTCATGCGTGCTTCAAACAATAACCGGTTATACTCAGACTTGGAAAGCGGTACATCAGATCTTGTCTTTTTGTCTGAGGTCTCCACAGGCTCCGGCCAAGTTCGTCCCTGTTCCAAAAGTGGACCAGGAGATGCAGCTGATACCTCATCGCCTCCAAAAGTTCGTAAATCTGAAGCCGAGGGTGCCGACAGCAGTGGTTGTTGCAAACCTGTTCCCATATCATCAGCAGGATCACCAGATTGCTGCAAATGACTTCCTGATGAGGTCCCGACCAATTCTGCAAAGCTATCAGTCATATCGCTATTGAATGCCTCTGAACTGACGGATCCTGGAAAAGATGTCATCACTATCCAGATGAGCCGCGTAGCAACAACTGCAGAAAGTTTGAAGATCGGAAACCAACAAAAAACTCAAAACCCTGACCTCGGCAAACTCGGTATAATCCCAAATACACCAGGAAATCAAGAACAGCCTGTTTTCACTCAAATAATCGTACCTATCTGGATCCCACTCCAACGCAATCATTCAGCACCCCATGGCTCTCAAAAAGCACGATCCACAAAAGAAGTGGAACCCACCCGCCCTCCCATTGGAGGCGATACCTTGAATGGTAACAGCAACCATTGACAAAGGATTAAGAGTTGTTACACTTCTGTTGTGCTTGTCAACCTGCGCAGAACAGTGCAAGAGAAAAGAAACTCAGTTGCTTTCAACAAAAACTGGGGATTAGGTTTTGTGCCAGTTAACTGTTCACAGAGGTTTAGTAAACAGGGTTCACAAACCAAGATAGCACCAGGCCCAAAAAGGTGCACGTTTACAAACCAAAGTGAACACAGGCCACAAACCCAAATGCACTGAGCGCAGGAGAACGGGAGACGCAAGCGTAATAAGAAAGAGGAGGGCGGCTAGAAGTTGCATTCAACCTCTTTTTTACAAGAAGGGAAATAAAGTTCCATCAGCTCGCTGAGTCGCAACATAGACAACGAGGCACCAAGGTTTTCTTCCACCAAGCCCTCCAGGACAGGAAGCTCCTTGCAATTCCGGGCGTTCACTATTTCGATGCTCATCGACTACGAGCTCACCTGCCAGGCTTCGGAGCTCCAACTGCATCCTCGCACTAGCAACATCACAGGCCCTGAAGGAGCAGGAGATGCAGTCGAAGATTTCTCATCGGATGAAGAACGAGACACCACGGATGCTGAGACCGATGCTGAAGCTGAGGCGGAAGAGTCTTGGTGTCCCCCTATCCCAGACACGCCAGATGACCCTACTGAAAGCGAGATCGCTGGAGCCGCCGACAAGCTAGAAACCATGATGCGTGGGTCTCAACCGCAGGTGAATATTTTCTTCCAGCCTGACAACCTTGGCGCCCTGCCGGCGCTGTGGCTACAGGCGAAATTGACCATCTCGTTAACTTCCATCCAAGATAAATTTGCCAAATTGTTTATGACCATTGCAGCAGAACTGTGGCTGCGAGGACGTATTGACACCCTGGAGACAGTCTTTCAGGCTACGGCCAGAAACTTTACTATTCGGCTGGCCGAAACATTAGCGAAGTATTTTTATTCCTCAGAGGTAACAAAAGGGGTAACCTGTGGAAGCCTTCAACCACGCGTAAGCCTACGCACAAACCAACACAACGCACGTGAAACAAACAGTGTATACGAATATACCACTGTGTATCGTATGCACGACACATGTGTATACATTAAAAACACACGCGTGGGATACACACGGCCATAAACGGAAGTTCACCAAATTCGGATACGTCGCCGGAGTCACGCCGAAAATCTCGATTCGCCAAAGAAATCACCGCAATGTTCGAAAAATGAATCAAACTGAAAAACAACATCCAAGCACATGTCAGAAGCAGCTCTCGCTTTTTCACTGGGGAATACTGCTTCGAGTTCCCGTCACGTTCGACGGGAGGGTTAGGCTATCCCAATCAGGGTTGGGAGAAACGCCAAGTTTGCAGGGTGGGAAAGAAAATTGGGATGCCACAACAAAAGGTTTCCCGCCCACCCTCCACTTAAACCGAGATGTCACACAAGATAAAAAAAAAATGAGTTGTCACACTGAAAGAACAGTTCTGGATCACGACATGCATCTGAAACTGCTGTCTGATAAGAACAGATACTGCCAGCACCCTCATGCTCACAGAAAGACACAGGGTAAAAAGGACAACTGAAAAGTGTGACATGTTTAAGTTGAGTGTTTGTGTGTTTGGTTTTCGCAAGCGTACGGGTCGCAGCAACGCGTAGAAGTTTAGAAGGCAAACACTCCAAGTTACCCCAAGAGCCTTTGAACCAAGTTCAAAGGCAGGTTAACCTAGGAGGAATAAAGGGACTATCCTAACCTCGTACCTCGGACGGAGGCGACCCATGCTCGCTGATGCGGCGTGCGGAGACATTGGCCACCCCTGAAAACGGAATGCCTCCTCTACGCCACGTACTGGTTCGACCGATATTGTCTGAGTTGATTGGAGCAGCCACGGAAAGTGCAGCCGTCAATCGAGACCGCGCTCCAAGTGGCCCAGTCAAAGTAGTTGTCACCAATCAACCTCACTCACGACCCAACGCAGGGATCGATCTTGCCAGTGGAGTGTCTGCCCTTTTAGCATGGTTCCCGGCCAGCTGGGCGAGTAAGGTGGCGCCGTGTTTCATTGGTGATGCTGGGGGTGCTACACAATTGCCGCAGGAGGTGACCATCCAATGTCCTACCCGGGAAGCGGCAAACACACAACGGGATGATGGTGACCAATGTGCTTCAAGCAGTCAAGTTTACTGACAAGAAAGTACCTGGTCTACACCTTGACCTCGATGAAGACTTACAAGCCGCTGGCTGTTTTACGGAAGTCATTCGTGGCTATCAGATGGGGGTAGTGGAGCCAGATGTCATGCGCGGCCTTCAGCCAGCCGGAGCAACCAGAGTCACGCTCGACGTCATTATCCCATCTCCCACAGGCCTGACGCCGGAAAAGTGGAAGCAGACCGCGACGCTGTGTCCGCTGGACTGGCCTTCCAACTACAGCCTACTGCGGCTCTGGCATGTAACAAAGGACTTACACCAACAACAACATGTGCAGAATCGGGACTTCCCCAGCAGGCGAGTACGCAAAAAGCCACCCCGAGGTGACATAGATGAGTTCAAAGCAAAATGTAGTGAGCTCCGACGGCTCGCCACTACTCAAGAACTGATAACCCTAACAGTTGGACTGACGCTCTCAATTTTTCCGTCCAACGCCTTCATGGCTTCCGCCAGGTCGTCCAACACGTTCAATTGCATGTTGCAAAATAGGGGTAATCAGTCAAAAATAAAACGCATACATGGCCGTCTGCAGATTGAGCTGGTATAGGACCTGCGCATAGTCCAGTAGGCCGTCACGAAGTCACCTCAACCCGAAAACAAAAACCAAAAGCAAACCCACCAAAACAAAGCAAAACACAGCAACCCAAAACAAAACAGCCAAACAGAGGCGTGACAGGTGCCAGTTCATGGGCTAATTAATGCAGTTGGACTGACACTCTCAAATCTGACAAACACCATTACCTTGAACACATTACACGCCGCATGACATAGATACCCCCCCCCCCTCTTGTAGTAGTTGTCTCGCCGTTCTGACACTCGTTTCACCCATGTTTGTTTCACTCAGATGCAGAAACAGTTTGTTCGGGGTGTGTCTGTCCGCAGACTTGTGAAAACACGAGAGCGGCGTGGCAGCTCTTTTTCACAGCTCGGACTTGAGCCAAACCACACAGGTTTGACAGCTCAGTCACTCTTCTTCTTAGAAGAGTCGTGCAGAGTAAAACGCAGTGACACTCAAACGTTCTCAAACTTCTCAAACTACTTCAAAAGAGTTCTCAAGCTTTAAAAACGTTCTTCCAGCTTCTCCAAATAAAACGTCTTCAGCTCAAACTCACAAATAACCTACAAAACTCCTACCCAATACAGTCACAACATCAAGTTCCTAGGACATGGGTCAAACAACATCCAAAAACACCACAAACCACAAAAACAAACGAAAATCCATCTCCAAGCTATTCCATGCACAAACTGGTTCCATTTGGTTCCAAATTGGTTCCTACCTGGTTCCTATAGGTTCCTATGGGTTCTATAGTTCACAGATCGGTTCCTACAAACTTAAAATGGTTACCTAACTGTTCACATGCACATGCATTGTTCCAAGATAGGTTTAAAGATGTTCAAGTAGGTTCAAGGTGGTTCAGTACACTGTACATCCTTTCACCAAACTTCCACACCCCTTCTTGGACAGTAGTGCTGTACACCGAAGTACCTATAGACTACCATACCGTTTGTAAGGCAACTAAGTTCTGAACCCACACAACTACATTCCAGACATCACCAACTAAGATCCATGCTCATCAACTAAGCTAGGAACTAGCGCACAGAAAACTCGAAGTGGTCCTGTGTTTTAATGGTGCCCTCAAATAGATGGATGTTTTATGAGAAACGAGTCTCTTTGGCTCCATCTTGTGATCATCATAGGGCAGTGGCATCGGAACAAGGGAGACCAACAAACCATACCCCATAACCATCTTTCTGAGTAACCCACAACTTTGAAACTGAGTTCACAACTTCTGCACAAAGTTTTGTTTGAAAACGTTTGTCATTTGGAAACCTTGGTATTTGAAACTGTCTCACGTTTGTCATCCTCATCTCATCTAAGTAAGGGGAAACTGGCACCTATGGTACTTCCGCTGGATATACCTTGGTGTCCAGTCTTTCTGGGTATTGGGATAGACCCTCAAAGGATACCAGGGTATCCATGCCGCTGGCATGTGACCTTGGGAATCCTAAGCCCTCAAGTTAGGATCATCCACACAAAACCCAAACAAACTGAAACATGTTTTTCAAACCCGTTTTTCCAAATGCTTGGCAACGGTTTCACGTCTCTTGGAATCTTGGCTTCTAAACCCTGTAACTTGGCAGTTGCAGACCTCTACAACTTCCTTGGTTATCAGCCCAACTTTGTGTGGCAAAGTCTTGGTAGCTGAGCTGAATGCATTGAGCGCTGAACAGTGGCAACAGTGCTAAGCATTCCACGTGGTATCCAAGAGTCCTAAAACTCTGGATTGTCTTGGCTAAGCGCTGGACATCCAGTTATGGATACCCTCCAAATCCAACATGTTGTGCACTGGGGTTCAAACCCTTCAGAAGATAAAGCCAAACCAACAGTGACCAACGATCCATGGAGAAAGTCCACAACAGGAGAACCACTGCAACGCACAAGGACAGAACATTCAGGAAGAGTCCAAAAACAGGTCAAGTTCAAGACAACTTCAACCAAGTTCAAATCAACTTCAACCAAGTTCCAAGAACATGC